AATTCACTTTACATGATGTAGTATACAATATCATTGTATACGATATAATAAATTATATAATATACAATATAATTCAGAAAATAGTGGCAGAAATTGACAACTAGTAATGCTAGATTTCAATACTGTGTTGTATGTTTCTTATGTCTCGAATGCACAACAACGAATATAAACAACGGCAAATAAAAGAATAACCATGCAGATGTGCTTAGTATGCAAATGCATGAAAATGAACATACGCGTAATACTTAGGGTGTTGGTGGATGAACAGTCGCGTCTGTACTGAGAGAACCTACACATAAAAACAGTCAACATATGCGCATGTATAAGATATAATCACATATGCGCTTCTGAGACTCAAGCTCATGCATAGACGAATATATATTCTGATGTAGTGAGCAGGCCGTATCTAGCTACACTTAAGCCCGGGCTAAACATGTTCAATCCTGTTAGAGTGGCCTACTAGTGGTGCCACGGCTAAATTACCGCTCCCCCCCTCCTCCCCCATGATATGTCTAAGCCGGTAGGTGGAGAGCACACGGCCACAAACAGAGCAACGACCCTCATTCCCGGAGGCGGAAGATCTGTAGTTTCCCAGCTGATTGGCATACCACAACGCGGGTCTTGCAGAGTGCAACTTTCAGACAGGGGAGCTATTTTACTGAAAGTGATAGCAAGCGTGTAGTACAGGATGACCCGCCCGTCATGACCCTGAAGCCCTTTCCACTAGTATAATTATACTTCACTTTTTCCTTTTTTTCCCTCTTATCTATCAGTGTGATAATTTTCTTTCTTTTCCATTTTATCACGTATTTCTTTGTTTAAAAAACATGTCCATCCTTCTTAAAAAACGAGTAAAAAATAAAACAATAAAAAAGTAAAAGAACTAAAACTAAGGATAAAAATGAAACTAAAAAGTTCAAAGGAAAACCTGAGATCCGCAGTCTGTATATTCTCAAAATGTACAATTCATATATCATATCCGGGATCTTACAAAGAATGAAAATATACTTATCTCTCTCTCTTGCAGCACGAAAGCAACATCAAGGAAGCGTCCGGTGAAGCCGGGCGCCCCACGAACCACACTGCTTATCTTTACAAGCAGACAACCAAAGAGAGTGTTTGGCGACAAGACTTTAGCTTTTGTGTACACGCGTCTTGTAGCAAAATAGTTTTTATGATATAAATTAAAGTAAAATAGATTAAAATGAAAGTAAAACTTCTTTAACCTCTAAGAGATTAAAGAAAACTGAGGCTGTTAAAAGAAACCAACAAATATTGAAATATACAAAACAAATAAAAATGCTCCAGGTTGCTGCCCAAAACGTCCATAGATGGTGCTGAACTGGCAGTGTTGCGCTGCTAACAGGGTGGACTCGTCTAGTCTGGACTATCACCACAGTGGGATACTTCACGTCCACTACAGATCACCTGGTTACGGCAGCGATCAGATCGCTCCGGAGCAGAGAGTACCCAAGATCCGTTCAATAGGCCGCCCCACGTTGCACATATAACATAAGGGCCGCGAGGACCGAATCCGATTTACTAGCAATAATTGAAGAACTATTTCATTAAATGGGATATTACTGGACTCTGACGCTAGAAGACTAGGTAAAGAACTGAAAAAAACTAAATGATGGGCCCGTGCTCTATTGGAGAGGTAAACCCCAGGTAGCAAGCCCGAATGCCTTTCTTTATCATGAACCTGACTGGCTTCAACAATGCCCACCAGTATTTATTTACTACGGACAGTATATTGATCACACTTTTGTTCTGTTCAAACACTCCTCACACGTTAATTTTTTTAATTATATCAACTCTAAACACCCAGGTATTGAATCTATCTGTGAAACGCAACATAACAACCAACTACCCTTTCTAGACACCCATGTTACCAGAGATTGTGGACGTTTCCACAATAGTATTTGCCGTAAACCAACCTTTACTGGCCTCAGCCTTCACTCTGTCAGCAATATTCCATGCATTTACAAAATCAACAGCATAAAAACACTCATCACTAGAGCTTATAATCTGTCTTTTAATTGGTCCCCTTTCCATGATGAATTGAATTTTCTAAATATATATATATATATATATATATATATATTGTAAGTAATGGGTACTTACTGCGTTTATTCGATAAAATAACAATGACCTTTCTGTGTAATAAATTCTCGAATCTGCCTGCTGTATCAACCGCAAAAAAGGATCATAAATATGTGAAACTACCATTTATGGAGAGATCAAGCTTTGAAGTCAAAAACCAATTAAAACGCTTCTGCAAAAACAAAATACCATCAAATGAAATTTAGCAACTCTTAACACTATTACCAATACTATATATAATATATATATATATATTATATATATATATATATATATAATATATATATATATATATATAATATATATTGCTGCGAACGGTGTTTGCGCACCGGTGTAGATTTTTTTTTTTCAAGGGAGACGGATGGACACATGCACACATTTGATTGATTACAAGAGA